ATATTAAACTTTCTTATGACTGTTTCCACTGTTTGTCCTGTCTGTCATGGGCTAGCAAACTAGACTAATTTGCTGAACTGGTTTTAGGAAATCCCTTATGGAATGAGGCAAGTATAAATAGATAGAAAAACACTGTTATTAAAGAAATATCATTTTGCTTAGGCTTGAAATATTAGGGTTTTTTAACTTAAATTAACCAAACATTCTTTTAAAAATCATCCTATAAGCTAGTCAGAACCAAATGAAAAATATATCAAATTGACCCTAGGATGGAGCAATTTTATCTACTACCCAGAATCTATGGGAGGACACTGATGTCCCTCTCCACCATCCAGAACAGACTGACCACTACTTTCCAGACCTAGGGAGGTTCTCTTAGCCACAAGGCAAGATAAGCAAGACCAGAAAATACTGTTGGGCAGGGCGTTTTGTACCCTGTACAAGGTTATCCAACTAAAAAGAGACAAATAGAGGCTAAAATTTGTTCTTCAACTGCCCTGGTGAAGATCCAATGTCCCTGAGAAAGAAGAATGTTTTTCTCATTGTTCCACTGGAGTGGACACTTCATTGCAAGTTGTCTGCCCCTCAGGTAGCATATGTTTCTAATCAGCACAAAGGCATTTATGAGCAAATGGTGGCCTTGAAAATTAACATAGAGATCTTGGAGCCTCTGAGTGTTCTGTGAAGGCTGGGGCCACAAATATTCTCTGTCTGGCCATGGGCCTTGAAGCCAAAACATTGATTTAAGCTACCTTTCCCTTCCAGTTGAAACAGATTGTGAAGACAGTGGCTCAGCTGTAAATTCCAAAGGAAGAAGAGTAACTCCCATTTGCTGAGGACTCACTAAAAGTCAGGAATCTGCTGAAGCTTTATCCTACAAGTAAGTGGAAGAGACAGGTGAGTATTCACATTTGAGAGGTTGGCATGGCATAATGGGGGGAAATGGGCTTTGGAGTTAGAGAGAAGTCAGAATCTTTATTCTGAGATTTACTAGCTAGCAACTTGGAGTATTTAACTTCTCTGGGCTTCACTAAGGTAACATATGTAAAGAGCCAAGCACAATGCTGCCTGGCACATAGAAGGCATTCAGTTCTTATGTCTCTTTTTGCTACTACCCTGATTCCAAAGTTAATTCACATTATTCACACCCTCAGCCTTAAGACTTGACTCAGAGTAGAGCATAAGGATGAGTCTACTAGACAGAAAACGGGAGAGTCAGGAGATGTGGATCCCAATGCCAGACGCATCCCCTGTTACAGTACATTGAGTAAGTTACTCCCCTCTCCTGACCCCATCAATAAAATGAGAGAACAAGCCTAGTTTGAAAGCTGAAAGGAAAGAGCAGGAAATCACTTTTCTTGGGCACATGCCATGTATATGCACTATGCTAGACCCTTTTACATACCTTATATATTCTAAACCAGCACTGTCCCATAGAACTTTCTGTGATGGTGAAAATATTCTGTATCTATTGTTATCTAATATGGTACCATCAGGGAGAAGGGAAATTTCCTACTTCCACCCTTCTTTAGTTCTTACAGCTGGACCAATAATAAAATAATAAAATTGACACAAGGCAAGATTAATAGGAGAAAAAATTAATATGTGCCCATGGGAGAATCATAATATGATGCTCAGATGATAAAAGGGACTCAAAAGGGGGTCAAATATACGGTGATGGAAGGATACTTAACTCTGGGTAGTGAACACACAATGCAATATATGGATGATGTTTTATAGAATTGTACACTTGAAACCTATATAATTTTATTAACCAATGTCAGCCCAATAAAGTTAATTTTAAAAGAAATGATCAAATTAGGTAATTTTTATATTTTTTTAGACAAAGAAACAATCAATTTGTGAGCAATTGACAGGATAAAGAAAGTTAGTGTCCATTAGAAAGGAATCTAAGCAAGGTTCAGGCTTAGGTAGTAAATTAGTAAAGGCTTTACAAGGTTTGTTTATACAGGCTTTTTTGACTCTGGATTTCATAATTCTTGTGATAAGGCTATCTTTTAGCCCTCGGGAGAAGGGATGGCACCTATCACATAGAGATTTATTTCCTGCTTTGACAGAGACAGAGGAGAGTCAGAGAGCAACTCCTGCTCTGAGTGCTTTAATTCAAAATAATCGATATTGTGAGCTATCTTGGGGAAGCCTGCCCTAGGCCCTGCCAGCATTGATACTAGCCATAAGTAACTACTGAGCCTTTGAAATGTGATTAGTGTGACTGAGGAACTGAGTTTTTCATTTTAATTAATTTTAATTAATTCAAATTTAAGTAGTGACATGTCTAGTGGCTACCATACTGGATACTGCAGCTCTAAGATTATGAGGCAGGAATAATTATTCTCATTTAATGTAAGGTGAAACTAGGGCTCAGGAAAGCTTAAGAATTTGTTGAAAGTCACATAAATAGTAAACGACTAAACCAGATTCACAACCAAGCAATAGAAAGTTGAGCAGGTATACCAGGAATGTCAGATATACCAGGAATTACTGAGGCTCCACTACTTACAAGTTATATGACCAAAGAAAAATAATTATAGACTCTAGAACTCACTTTCATCATCTATAAAATAATGATAATTGTCACCTAATTTACAAGCTTATTGTTGGAATTAATGGATATACAGCCATATAGAGTGTGGCCCCTAACAGACTTTCAATAACTGTGTTTCCTCACCACTCCGATTTCCCACACACACAGAAAAAGTTCAGACATAAACTAAAAAAGACAACTTCAGGGTAGAGAGAGCATTGGGGAAATATAAAAGCAAGGAAAAAAAAAAAGACTTAAAAGGTTTTATGTGATATATTATGGAACAGAGATGAGGGAGGTTATTAAATCATCAAAATATTTCATTTATTTAGTTTGCTTTCCTGCTCTCTTCTTGACGTTAGTCAACATTAGCTAAAGTAGGGAAGAAAGTATCTGTAATGTATTTTGAGGCCCAGAAAGACAAGTTATTATGGCTGAACAAGAGTACTGTCAAGGGCTCAAGAAGCTGGTAAAATTCATAGTCTGGTTCCCTCCCGTACTTGTATGCACTGAGAAAATAATTTGACACTTCTACACATTAGTTTTTAATCTGTGTAACGGGACTGATAATATGCAGGGTGTCTCAAAACCTGTCATTTTTTTATTTTGCTTTACATTCTGTAGCACCCTCTAGCGGAGCATACAAAAATAAGCATTGCATAGTTCTAACTTCAGCGTGCATTGGAATCAGAAGTTTGTTATAACACGAATAGCCAAACCCTACCCCCAGAATTTTTGATTCATAAGGTTTGAGGTGGGGCCTGAGAATCTGAATCGGACAACTTACCAAAAGGTGATAACGATGCTACTGAGGTATCTGGGAAACACACTTTGAGAAACACTGCTCTAAATCCCACCTCCTTCCTGGTGGATGGGTGGGTTTGTGGGTGTGTGTGTGTGTTGTGTGTGTACAGCACAGGCGTATATGATTGATAACTGAAAGGGGTTTAACTTTTGTTGTTTGATTTTGATGTATTCGTACTCATCTAATAAAGATTTTGTGAGGAAGAAAAAAATATCCACGTGAAGGATATGAAACAGCATCTAAAATATAGAAAGTATGCAAAAAAACTAAAGATCAGAGAACATAAATTGTTTGTCCAGGGTCTCAGAACTAGTAGACGGTACAACGGGATTAAAAATTAGGTCTCTGATTCCAAAGACATAATAAAGCTTTAGTAGTACCACTACAGAAAATAGGGTGCAAATGTACATATCTAATAAAAATTTTGAAAGAAAAAGATCAGTTTCCAGTACCAGGGTCCACGTTCTTATGGTCTTTACTGACTAAACAGCCATCTGTATTTTCCGCCTTTTTTCTGAGCATTTGAAAAGGTGCACAGAAAGGGTTAGGATCTTAATCAGCATTGGTGCCTGGGGTCATTCATCAATTCTGACACCTCCCCCCACCCCACCCCACCCCCCCAAAAAAAGCAAGGAAGGCGGGGGATGGAGAGATTTTTTTTTTTTTTTTAAGGAGGAAATGAGAAAAAAACATTTAGATCTAGGGCCATAGTCCCCTGCCTGTTAGAGCTGTTTATAGAAGTTAATTTGATTTTCCCTAGCAATGAAAGATATGCGTGATCCCAATAGATTGGAGAGTTCAGCAAATCAGGAAGGGCGGGGAACAAAAATCCCATCATTCCAGGGACCAAACAGCCAATCCTTTACTGGGATTTGGCGGCACCTGGTGGCAGACTCAAAGAGGTATAAACCTCAGAGAACTTTCTGGAAAATTAACTGAGTGCGTACCTGCCTGAAGATCAGGACACTGTGCTTGGAGATCAGGACAAAAAGGGTAAGAGAGCCTCAGCCATCACAAGAATTCGGAGTCCGTAGTGGAGAGGAAGGCTATCGTACATATTCTCAGCAGAAAATTTTGTTTGTGCCAGGAGAATTGCACGTAACTTTGGAGGGGTGAGGGAGGGAACAGGGAATAAGGAGGAGAAAGATACTAGAGGACAGGAAAGAAGCTGCTCCTTGTAATTGCTAGTATGGTAATGCGAGGGTTTGGCTCTTAACCGTCGGAAGGCTATAGTTTACGACAGGAATGTGGTATGGAGAACGTGGGAAGTTTATTTTTAGGGTCTAAAATTAAATTGATAGGGGAGACCGAAATATTTCTAGCAAAGGCCTTGTATTCCTGTGGTTGTCTTGGCTGAATTATTTTTCTTTTCATTAGAACAATTTTCAAACATAAAACGAGAGAATGCTCCGTATAGAGCGCGCACACGCGAATACACGCACGCGCGCGCACGCACGCACGTCCTCGCTCCCGGACACGCACCGACCCCAACGCTAGGGATACACGCCTGCGCACACCCACCGCCTCCAGCGCCACGAGGGCTGGCGCGCGCACACACCCAAACCCCAAGGCCATACGAGCTCGCCCGCGCACACCCACACTAGCACCCCCACCATGCGCCCGCAGCACCCAGCATCCCCATTCACATACGTCAAAATCCCCACTCTGCTTTTTTTTCTCGAGTTGCGCAAGTGGCTCGGGGGTGTGGCCCCAGATTTGACCTCGCGCTTCCCCACTCGCGGGAATCTTAGATCATTTCCGCCCATCCTGTTTCCGCAGGCCACGTAGACACTTCCTTTTCCAGTGTGTCGTGAGGGGGGGAACCCATAATGCCTCCCGCAGAAAAAAAAAAAAGAACCTCTGGTCAGGGAACTCTGGGTCGTAAAAATAGGCCACGTGAACACCCTGCCCTATAGACTTATGACCCAACGACTGTCGCTCTCCTGGAGGCGGGCTAAGAACCTAAGAGGGCGAACGTCATTGGCCAGAGACTGCACTAAAGAAGGGAGGTGATTGGCTTACTTCAAGCCTTAACCATGAAGAAGCAGGTTGCTAGCACCCCCCTTTACTGCGGCGAAGTGTCATTGCTGACGTGATGGGCCTCGTCCAATCATTTGGTCATGGAACATTCTAAAACTTAGGCAAGACGACTGTGATTGGCTGAGGGGCATAAGCCCGCCTCCAGCGTGACGTGTCTGCCTATGGATATCAGTTGCCGGAGAAACCTGGCTTTACTATGGCGGTTGGAGGGACGGCAGTGAGCACACGTCGGCTGCTGGAAAGAACTGGATTCTCGTTTCAGGTTTCGGGGTGGGGGTGGGGAGAAAGGGTTGATGATTTTCTTTTCTCGTCGCGTATATAAACAGGATTAACTAATGGCTTCACAATCGGGCAGAACTGGATTCGGATTCCTATTCGCCAACGCCCAGCTCGGGCTGGCTCCTTTCTGTGTCTCGGTTTCCATGTTTGTAAAAGGGTGATAATAATAGTACCTACCTCAGACGTGTACCTCCGAGGCGTGTACCGTATATTTGTCCGTATAAGGCACTTAATAGGAATCCTGGCTCCGAGAGAGTATTGTGGAGAGAAAAACCCGTGTAACACAATGATAAAAAACAAATTATGTAAATTCATTGTAGTGCTTTTCCTGCCCATCAACTTATCCTCTAGAAGAAATTAGATATGAGAGAGACGTAGCAATCTGTACTGATGAAATGATATGCTGTTTGGGAATTAACTCAAAATAGCGGGGATTGGAATTTTCCATGTTGAAAAGTTTAAAGCGGGGGGCAGGGGGAAGATGGAGAACGAGAGCGAGCTGGAGATGAACCACATGCGATGAGTAGGCCTTGTTTGGATCCCGGTTAAGACAAACCAACTGTAAAAAAAAAAAAAAAAAAAACCAACAACAGACATTTTATTTGATGCGTTTTTAAAGAATTGATTATATTTTTAGTCGTCATAGTGGTATTGTGGTTATGTTTTCAAATTGTCTATCTTACAGAGATATACAAAAATACGGATTAAATAAAATATCTGGGATTGACTTCACAAAACG